GCGTAGCGTAAATATCAGCAGTACGTCGCATTACTTGCGTAAGTTGCGCTTTACACTTAAGTGGAATCTGTATGTTCGTTTGGCCAGAAGCTAATTATTTTACTTTATAAAGTTTTAAATATGAATATTTTTCTTACACAAATGCATCGCTTCGCTTGTGCCAGTATTAGCATAATAAAGACAGCAAATACAATTGTTTTCTAATGGTAATAGTCGTAGTAATTTAAAAATTAATTGAATGATTACCATTGTTGCTTTTGCATGCTGAGTGTTGATTATGGGATATGCTTTTATATCCCACAAGGCCACGGGAGAGGATTTATGAATGGCAGTGAAGCGACGCAACTGACGCTGGTAGGTCACGTGACAATAACAACATGGCGGATGCATTATGTCTGAATTTCATTCATACTTTTTTCTGTTCATCAGCAGCTCTGTGTTGGATATTGTTTAGGTGTGTAACAGTACATGTTTTTTCATGCCCAAAAGTTCCCCTTCTCCAGGATAGGACAATATAATTTATATAAATATACTTTGATGTTGCGAAGGACACAGATTGAGCAGTTAAACATGAGGGGCCCTATTTTAACGATCTGAAACGCAAGTGTCAAAGCGCAAAGCGCAAGTAACTTTGTGGGCGGATCCCGGCGCTGTTGCTATTTTCCCGGCGGGATAAATGCCTATTGCGCCTGGCGCAAATCTAAAAGGGGTTGGTCTGAAGTAGCTTCATTATTAGGTGTGGTTTGGGCGTAACGTGAAATAAACCAATCAGAGCGTCATCTCACATTCCCTTTAAGAGCAGGCGCGCTTGTTCTAAAGCGGATTCCTTTTATAACGGCGGATTTGCCAGGCGCGCGCCAGGAGCGGTTTACAGCCGAGGAGAGCAACGTTCTCGTCAGGGCCGTAAAACACAGAGAAGTGACATTGGGGATGGAGAACCCCACCCAAATTAACTTCTGTTAACCAGGCGTATGATAATTTGGGTAAATGTGTAAGCTACATGTATGCTTTTATAATAAATTGTCTATCTATCTATCTATCTATCTATCTATCTATCTATCTATCTATCTATCTATCTATCGTAATAATGTATGATTTGCAAAAATGAAAACTGCTGCTTAGATGAGAGAATCAAAGTGTATGCGCGTTGTGCACACGCTACATTGATTATGGCCAAGCATGCGCCCTTAAAATAGCATAATGAACAACGCGCAACGCGCCACTGACTTTAGACTAGGTTTTTTCTGGTCAGTGGCGCATTTGTTTTATAGAACAGCAAAATAGCATGAGGGAAAGTTTGCGCCGGAACACGCCTCCTCTTTGCGCTGAACCGCCCCGGGGAGCGCAAGTGTATTTCTTAGTTAACCGACGTGTGTCTGTGGAGGGAAAAGCCCGCTTTGCGCGGGTGCAAAATAGGAATGATACATGCGTCAGTGTACAAAGTCATTTGCGCCGAGTGCAAGATAGGGCCCGAGATGTGCTCTATATTAAACGCTTCAATCATAAACCAACATGGCTTGCACTACTGTCAGATGCATGTGTTGTTAAATGAGTTTGAGATGCGTTTTCCTCAGCGCACAACTTAGACTTTACGGTTGTATACTTGCCTTTAAATGTTACAAATCCTCGCAAGTATTTCCATTTTACATAAATGATTATGCTGACAGCTAGCGAGTCTACATTTACTTTTCAGACATCAATGAAGGAGTGTCAGTGAGCGCATGCCCGTCACAAAAACGGAGCAGATTAGAATTGGAGTGCAATAATTCTAATCTTAACTTAAAAAAAAATATATAAAAAAAAAAAAATATATATATATATATACACTCACCTAAAGGATTATTAGGAAAACCTGTTCAATTTCTCATTAATGCAATTATCTAATCAACCAATCACATGGCAGTTGCTTCAATGCATTTAGGGGTGTGGTCCTGGTCAAGACAATCTCCTGAACTCCAAACTGAATGTCAGAATGGGAAAGAAAGGTGATTTAAGCAATTTTGAGCGTGGCATGGTTGTTGGTGCCAGACGGGCCGGTCTGAGTATTTCACAATCTGCTCAGTTACTGGGATTTTCACGCACAACCATTTCTAGGGTTTACAAAGAATGGTGTGAAAAGAGAAAAACATCCAGTATGCGGCAGTCCTGTGGGCGAAAATGCCTTGTTGATGCTAGAGGTCAGAGAATGGGGCGACTGATTCAAGCTGATAGAAGAGCAACTTTGACTGAAATAACCACTCGTTACAACCGAGGTATGCAGCAAAGCATTTGTGAAGCCACAACATGCACAACCTTGAGGCGGATGGGACCCCACCGGGTACCACTCATCTCCAAATAGGAAAAAGAGGCTACAATTTGCAAGAGCTCACCAAAATTGGACAGTTGAAGACTGGAAAAATGTTGCCTGGTCTGATGAGTCTCGATTTCTGTTGAGACATTCAGATGGTAGAGTCAGAATTTGGCGTAAACAGAATGAGAACATGGATCCATCATGCCTTGTTACCACTGTGCAGGCTGGTGGTGGTGGTGTAATGGTGTGGGGGATGTTTTCTTGGCACACTTTAGGCCCCTTAGTGCCAATTGGGCATCGTTTAAATGCCACGGCCTACCTGAGCATTGTTTCTGACCATGTCCATCCCTTTATGGCCACCATGTACCCATCCTCTGATGGCTACTTCCAGCAGGATAATGCACCATGTCACAAAGCTCGAATCATTTCAAATTGGTTTCTTGAACATGACAATGAGTTCACTGAACTAAAAATGGCCCCCACAGTCACCAGATCTCAAACCAATAGAGCATCTTTGGGATGTGGGGGAATGGGAGCTTCGTGCCCTTGATTGTGCATCCCACAAATCTCCATCAACTGCAAGATGCTACCCTATCAATATGGGCCAACATTTCTAAAGAATGCTTTCAGCACCTTGTTGAATCAATCCCACATAGAATTAAGGCAGTTCTGAAGGCGAAAGGGGGTCAAACACAGTGTTAGTATGGTGTTCCTAATAATCCTTTAGGTGAGTGTAAAAAAAACATGGCTTCAAACCTGAGATAAGTAACGAACTGTCATACTACCATTACACCCCTCATATTATTGTGAGGCATCTCTCATTTTTAAAAGAAAAAATGCATTCTGTAATCATCCCTTTTTTTACTACCGAGTCAGACTGGAAAGATAGTGAAACTAAAGGACGACGGAACAGCTTTTAAAGCTAATTGTGGTTGATTGAAATTACAGAGTTTAGGGTATATTGGTTTTGATGTGTGAATTGTAAATTGTAATATGGACTGGACTCATGCATTTTCTGTAAAGCTGCTTTGAAATTATGTGTATTATGAAAAGTGCTATACAAATAAATGTGAATTGAATTGAATTGAATTGAATGGTATCAACATTCAACAGGACAGAACACCTCTGCTTGTGTTAATATTTGTGTATTTACCAGGAATATCAATCTGGTAATTTTACGGTAATTTACCAGGCTTATTGTGTGAAAGCACAGAGTTGGAAAACATTGATTATTTTTGCAGGTCCATTGGAGATACTAGATGTGCAAAAATTACACACTTCAGCTTTAAACTATCACTTCACTAATTACTTTTCAGTGACACAGAAGAAACAGAAAGTTGACAACTTTGATGTGCATCAAAGATTGTATAGCTGCGGTATGTGGGTGTGTTTATCCTCTAAGATTAGATGATGTCTGAAGATATCACACGGAAAGCCAAGGCACAAGTAACCATTTGAACTTCTGATGTGACAGACATCTGTTTCCATGGAGACAGGTGAAAAATGTGGGAAGTGTCTTGACTAACTCATCAGCAAGTAGTTCACTGTCTGAAACATTCAGACTTTGCTGCTGCCTTCAAGATTATTGGGGACTTCCAACTTGCAAACTCTGAAATTGTCACTACAGTGGGATGTGTGTTCAATTTCTGTGTTCACAGAAAATGATGGCGGATGTGTTTTGATTTTGCTGGCCATTTGCCTCATTAACCAGCGGCTATACTAGTGTTTTTGGAAAGCTTTTTTCAAGCTATTGCTCATTATATATACACAATGTATGCAATCCGGTGTTCACATTAACTCCTGGAAGTGGACAAGGGGTTAAAAATGCACATGTAAAAAGGTAAATCAGTTCCCTTTCAAGGAAACTCACGCTGCATGATTGTCGCTGTAGGAACGCTCTGCGTAATTACGTCTTGAAGCATGTGTGAAATCAGTCCAATGGTGTGGCGGAAACGTTAGAGGCGGGTGATGTCACAACCAGGAAACTGTAATGCCAGCCCAAACAAAGCAGCGCTAGCTTCTGAGTCTTCAGTAAGCGCTCTCTGTGAAATCATTTGTCATATTTGGTGTTGGACTGATTTCACATGTGCTTCAAGACGTAATCACGCAGAGTGTTCACACTTCACACAGCGTCAATCGACACAGCATCTCGTTCCCTCTTCAGGGACCTGAGGTTACAGTCGTAACCAAGGCATTTTTCTTCGATGTAGTGTATCAAATAAAAGTCTTCGAGTTAAAACTTCTTTAGCAGCTGCAAAATCTTCTGCGTCTTGCTTCATCCCACTCCTTTTTGTTTATAACACTTTATAGATATTGTTTTTTCCTAAGGTATGTTGCAACACACAATGTATTTTTATATTTTATTGTATTTTATTTGTATACTTTTGTTTGAAATAAAAGACAGAAAGATAGAAATCTCATTTGGTTCCGTTTTAGTTGACAATTTCACTGACTCGATTAACTCGTACTCAAGCCGTGATGAACGACATTTTCAGTTAAACTATCCACCAACTGCTACTGTTCACTTCACCCAGCACAAAGATAAACAAGAAGATAACTGGCAATTACAACAATGTGGTGCCATTCATGTGTGCTCATCTCGTAAATACAATTATCCCCACACGACTTGAAGGCAGCAAGTGACACCTGAATTCAAGAACGTTACGGAAAATGTTATTGCTGTGTTGTAATCATGAATGTGAAGTTGCACCTGTGGAGAGCGGAGCTCAGCTCCTCCAGTTTGTGGGACTCGCTGTTGTTGCTCATTTTCGACAACGTGTCGATCCTCTTCATGATTATCTCCAACATATCGCTGATCTTTCTCAGGACCCCACGAGACTCGAGACCGCCCATCACTGTGACACAAAACAATGAGTACATGTAAATTCGGACAGTTACATTAAGTAGCCATGATGTACTGCCTAGAGACCCTGCTGAAAAGACCAGAATGTCAAGTTTCAGAATCGGGTTAAATTGATAGAAGCATTCTTTCAACATCATTACTCCAGTCTCCAGTGTCACATGATCCTTCAGAAATCATTCTAATATCCTGATTTGATACTCAATAAACATTTCTGATTATTATCAATGTTGATATATGCTGTTCATATTTTTATACATTTTTTTTCAAGATTCTTTGATGAAATAGTAAGTTCAAAAGAACAGCTTATATTTCAAATATATTCAGTTTTGTACAGTGTGTGCGATGATTGCCTTAAGTTACTCAAGCATGTTTTACTCAAAGTTGTAAGTACAAAACATACAAAATAGTGTTGGGACAATGATAGACCATTTCGTTTGAAGTCATCATTATGGTGATCATTATGGTGATCTTTAGTTGGGCTCTTGACCCTTGACTGTTTGGTATTATTTTTTTATTTTTTATTTTCTGGCTGCTGTAACTGTGTGTTTATATTTTCTATGGCAAAGAAAGCCAAGACATTTTTTGAGGATGATCTGTTGGTTATGTACTAATCTTCATGTAGCCTGAATCACAGATTTTATCCCAAGGATTATCACTGAAAGAGTTCTAGATTATTAAATACTTTTAAATATCCCAATATCCACCCTGAAACATAACTGAATTGAGTGAAAGTAACTTACGTGAATGCACATTTGTATAACATAGTAAACATATTTTTGCTAACAGGTTTTGTCCAAATGCGTAAGCACTTCAAATCTCTTCCCCGATTACAACAGCACCATATACTGCATCATGGATTCAGCACCATGTATTGATGAATATATATCATATATTCATCAATACATTTAAACCATTTAATATATCGATCATAAATATATGGAAATATATTTTCTTTCTGTAAGAGCAAGCACTAATTCAACATGGAAATGTATGTTGGCCTAAGCCAGTCTGTTTAGCAGTGGAGAAACACAATACAGAGATAAAGATTCTCTAGGGCAACACTCTCTTCTGAGAAAGGCTCAGAAACAAAGTCATGGCAAAACAAAGAGCCTAAATGGAGACTGAACTCAAATTCGGTGGCATATTAGTTGTATTTACTCATAATACCAACAACAGGCTGAGGGTTTTATTCAACAACATTTCAAAAGCTTCCCATTAGCACAGCCTCTCTCTCTCTCTCTCTCTCTCTCTCTCTCTCTCTCTCTCTCTCTCCAGAGCATCAGCGATGAGGCAACCTACTTCAACTCTCATATATGAAGAAAGGACACAAACAGCACAATACAGGAAGGGAAGGGGACCAATTAGGCTGACAGTCGAGTTTAATTTTCCGAGCCTTCCGAGCTCCTGCTGTCTGTTTGAGAGAGCTGAAGCCTGTGTGAGTGAGTGGATGCCTCTCACCTGGCCAATTAAACAGAACACATCTACAACTGTGAGGTCAGTAGGTCTCCAGAACACTTCGCTCTGACATTCTCTGTTCTAGAGATCATCCTGAACTGAATGCATCTTTCTAATGATTACAGCCGAGTTTCTTCTAAAGTGCCCCAGATTAAGGCCTCTGTGGCTGATCTTCCTCAGAGCTAAACTACTTTCTTTTGGGGTCAAACAATTCTCACAGCTGGATATTTGAACTTTCATTGCAAGTAGCATGCTCACACTTTTATCATGATGGTAAACATGCAGGATTCATTTGTTATAATAAATTTCTGTGATGGTTTACTCACCCTCGTGTCATTTTAAACCTGCATGCATATGTGGAACCTATTTTGAAGAATGTTAGAGTCCAAACAACATTGGACTCCATTGGAAAACAACCAAAAAAAACCAAACTTAATATTTTGTTTGTTAATATTATACTTAATAGACTGTCTGCTTAATTACTGCTAACACATTATTTTGATAAAGTAACTTTGCAACTACATGTCAATTTATTACACTAACCTGAACTCTAACCTAACAGTCTACTAACAATCTAATGAGAGTTAGTTGACATGTAGTAGCAAAGTTACTTCTAGTTAGTATAATGTCTAAAGTGGACCATTGAAATATAGTGTAACCAAATTATTTATTGAAGAAGAAAAAAAAATATGCTGGTTCCATCCAACTGGTGGTTGATTGGATGAAGGCAGATCTGAATGATCCAGAAGATCAAGTTATTTTCAAATTAGGAGGTAATTTAAAAATAATACATGCATGGATGAATTGTTCACAATAAGATCAATAGCATGCATTTAGGAAATAGATTAGGTGCATTTTAATTTCATGCTGACTTTAGGTTGACATGGCATCTTAAAAACGCAACACTCTTTAAAAACTTTTGGAGGGCTTAAATATCGTGACCCACCTTTAGTTGATGCCAACAATTTTCTTCAGAAGATCTGGCTCGAAAGCAAATATTACTTTATATCAAACTTCAAATATGTGAGCCAAATGAGTGATTTCTTGGAAAGCATTATCTAGAGTAAAATCTATACCTGGGAACCTACTGTACAGTTTAAAAAACATTCTGGTCAAGATGTTAACTTAATTACGCTAACTGGATGATGTCTGAAAGTGCTTTTGCTCTCTGAGATATGTGCAGCGAGCACTCTCATTCATCCAAATCAATTTGAAGACTGTGTAAAAACTAGATGAGTAATGATTATTTTGAGAATGATCTACAGTACAGACAATCTCAAACACTGTTCTGTATTTTAACTTGACAAAAAATACTGGGTTTGGTTCAACATCCTTCAGATTCTAAAAACAAATGTGAAATTCAGTGACATTGTAAGTACTGGGAATTCAAGCAGTCATTTTGTTGATCTACGAGTGTTTAAAAGCAGAATTTTGATACTCTTTTTTCTCTCTCAAAGCACTGAACTGGAATCTTGTTTGTTGCTTAAGCAACATTGGTGGTTGAGAAAGTACATTTTGAGCAAGTAATTAGTATTATGACATCCTACAATTATGTTATGATTCCTCAGACCTCCCTTTTCACTTACTGTTTGTGTCTGAATGCAAGCATAAGTAGTGTAATTATTTCATTGTTACTTCGATCTCACATTACTCCACTTATACAGCTTATAAACTCCTCTTTATAAGGTTGTAGGCAATCCTAACAAAAAAACTGGAAAAGACTACCTATGGTTGTATGCTGGACTTAGTTGGTTTAATCTGTTTTAGCTCATGTTCATCTGCCCAAACTATCACCAGACCACCTTGAACAGAAGATATCCACCAGCATGAGGCTAGAAAACCACCTTAGGCTTAGAATCTAGCCTTTTTTTTCTTTCTTTTTTTCCTCCGAATCTTAACCGAAAAAGCCTGCTCAGATGCACACTTCAAAAAATCCATTGAAATAGTGCACCATCTGGGCATCTTTGAAATACTATTTTCAGCATAGGTCTACTGTTATTTGGGATGCAAATTTTAATCATGCATACAATTCAGGACAGATTGTATGCAAATTAGGATGAAGTGAGTGATTGTTGAATAGTTGCTTTTATTTCCCTTGCACTAGATAGAAGCAAAACAAAACAAAAAATGCTAGGTAAACAACCACCAATTTATATGCTAACATGCAATTGTACACTTTTAAAGTGTGGTAGTTCAAACATTTCCCATTCATTTTTTCACTGAAGGGTAGGTTGAAATTTCTGTCAGATGTTACTGCTTAGTGAAACATAACCTGTAATATTCCTTGAAGAAATCCCTTAATTTCATTCAAATGATACAAGGAGCCTTGCAGTAAGGTATCAGAATGCATTATGACTCAAAACTGTCCCTTTTGTGCTCCTTAATCAACCCTATTTTATGTAGGCAGAACAGTGCAGATAGCAAAACCAGCAGCACAGTTCACTCATTACTGTCCATGAGAAAGTCACCAACATTTGCTTAATTACAAGATATGTGGGTTTTATTGGGGGTTTAATCTGATGAGATTAAGTTCTGCTTTTGAAAAGTGGATGTGCACTCCAAAGTGTATGAAGTATGGAATACTAAAGTCTTTGAGAATCCCTGCTGAAAATAAGTTTTGGTTTTTGATTTGTTGGTTTTTCAACAATCATCTCGACTATCTTATCCAACAAGACTGACTTGGTCAACCATCCAGTGTTGTAATACTTGAGACCAGACTTGTTCTTGAGTCTGCCTTGAGTCCAAGGCCATATTTTCACAGTCTTGGTCTTGTCATGTACTCGGGAGCATTTGGACTCAGTCTAGACTGGACTCAACTACTACGACACCAAGGCTACGTTTTTGTGGTTTGTGCAGGCTTAATAATATGATCCACTCTGTGCTACTGTGTCTCTGGACGACTGTGTGTGTGCTGTGGAGATCTGTGTGATTGTTCATCCCAAAGGGAAGCACAGTCACACAGCCTAAATTGTTCAGACCTCTTTAGGTCTGTGTCTTGACTTGAACTTGATTTGACCCTCTATGGTTTTGGTCTTGTCTCGAAGACAACTTGAAGACCATGCCGATGTTGGTCCACAAGCTAGGCCAGCATTAACCCAGCACTATAACCAGCCTAGACGAGCATGCAAATTCATTCTGGTCTTGTCCCAGATCTAGTTTTATTGGACAAGACCGTGGAGTCTCCAGATAAGCAAAAGGTATCTATAGGAATTAGTACATGTTTCAAAACTATGTTCACGGTACCACAGTCAAATCCCAGCTGAGACGTAAAATCATTATCCCCGATTCCCGAAACCCTCTTGAACCTTAAGCGATACATTTGATCTTTGTGCTGTTCTAAGTTTGACTTTAATGCGGACACCATTTTCAAAGCTCTGGATCAGTGAGGGATGCGAGCAGTGTGTGCCTGCTAATCCTACTAACGTATGCTGCCTCAGCTTCCTGATGTATTTATTAGCTTGCTGAAAAGCCACCATTTGTTAAGCAGTGAGGGCTGATAGAGTGATTCACGACTCCCACATGCGGCTGTATACTGCT